GAGGGGTGCCCGGCCTGGGGTGTCCTGGGCAGCCCCTCCTGCCTGCACCCAGGCCCTGCCCCGCGTCCCTCCCTCGCCCGGCCGGGCTGACGAGAGAGCAGATCTGCTGTTGTCCCCGGTGGGGCATAATCCATCAGCTCTTTCTCTCCGCGTGCCCTCCTTCCTCTCCTCTCCAGCCTCGCCAAATTCGGTGTTTAAAAATAATCCTCGAATCTGGGAACAGCAGTCCCCGGCTGACCCGAGGGGTGGACCGCAGAGATGCGTGCTGGACCCGTGATTCTGGATGCGATCAGAGCTCGGGGGAGTCCTACTCATCCAGAACATTCTTCCAGTTATTTGAGTTTTATTGGCGGCCCCGAGCTACCCTCGTGGGGGTAATTTTACCAATTTTCAGAGAACTAGAACCCAGGACGATAAATCTAATCCATCTGTGGGAGATGTGCTTCCTTGGGGGGAGGGGCGGGGGTGGGGCGAGGCCCCAAAACCCTGCAGCGCCCAGGCAGACAGCAGGACCCCGGCGGGGTTGGCCTCCTGTCCCGTCCTGGTCGCTGAGGGGCCGGGTGACCTTGAGCCTGTTTCCTTCTTTACGAGACGGGGTTTGGTGGCCTGCCTGCCCTGGGTGACGGGGTTCCCAGAGATGACACAGGGAAAAGTCAGGGTCCAGGACTCGGCCGCGGGGAGGAAGGGAGGCTCCCCTGCCCTGCAGGCATCACCCATGGAGGTCCCAGGTGGCCACACCTGACATGTGACGTCCCCTTTCCACCTGCACCCATGCCCCTGGGCCGGTGGCCCCTCTGCGGACCTCACACGAGCGCCAGGGGATGGCTTCCACCTTGTGAATGTTGGTGCTCTCAGTCATGTGACCCCTGAGAATGGACCTAGGACATGGCTGCCCCTGGGCACCGACTTTCCAGAAGCCACTCTGACCCTGCCAGTGGGGGCAGGGGGGCGTAGCTGGCTTTTGAGTTTTGCTGTCTCGTTAGGAATGGGATTTTTACGTAACTTCCCATGTGACATGAGGTGGGCTTTTGTTCCGCGGTGGGTTCGGCCTTCAGGTCTGGCACCTGGGCTGCCCTGAGCACCTGGGGAGCAGGGCCCCCCCATAGGCCTGCAGGCCCCAGCCAGACTCCCCGTACCCCGACCTTTGTCCAGCAAACAGGGTTGTGGCTTCTGTCCTCCGTGAACCCCCCTGCCCCCACTGTTGACTCAGGCCCAGGCAGCCCTGGGTGGGAGTGGGAGCACGGTCGGGCCGTGGACTCTGAGCAGCCCCGGAGTGTGTCCTGGCCCCACACACCTGCAGCATGCTGGCCCCTGGGAGGAGCCAGGACAGGCCTCTGAGGCCGGTGGGGGCCGGGCTGGGAGTCACACCCAGTCTGGGGGACTCTGGAGCCCAAGCCCCGTGCCCGTGGCCCCCAGCTGGCTCTCATGGCCTCATAGAGGAGGGCACAGGACCAGGCCCATAAAGTAGAGCTGACTGGCGTCCCTGCCCCCAGAACCCCCCTCAAACCTGTTCCAGAGTGGGGGTTAATGAGGGGATACTGGGAGAGCAGGCGAGTGAATAAATGAATGAGCACAGGAATGAAAGCAGAGATGGAAGGTGACGTGCCGCTTCTTCCAGCGGATGGGATCACGGCGGGCCTCCTGGAGCTGCCTCTAAGGCGGTGTGGGATTTACACTCAGGATTGAGAGGAGGACACCCGGGTATGAGGGACAGCCCCCAGCCCCCATAGATGGAGGGCTTTGTAGGGGCTGGAGCAGCAGGAGGGAGTGCTGGGTGCAAGGCAGGGTGGATCCCCCCACCCAGCACACACACACACCCTATATTCATTCCCTATATTCATTCAACAAACCCACTGGCCCTAGGGTTTGTGCCCTGGACTCCACCCTACAGGAGCCAGAGGGTCAGGAGACCTGCGGGCCTGGGCTTGCTCCCATGGAGGGTGTCACCTCAGAGGACCTGTCCCTCCCCACGCCCCACCATGCACTTTTCAGGGTTGATCTTTGGGTTTCCTCAGTGCAAATCCTGGCTAAGCACTTTGAAATGCTTTAATCTCCTTCATCCTCCTAGGAGGGCCCTGAGGGAGGCCCAGGCTCGGAACAATTAAGCGGCTTACAGCCGGTGGGGCCCGGTGGGGCCCGGTGGGTGCGGAGAGGGGCCTGCGGGAGGGATCGGAGGGCCATCCCCAGGCGCTCACGCTAGCCCAGCGTGCACAACCTCCGAATGACGGCGTCTCGGGCCCCCCATCGCATGCTCATGCCAACCCCCATCGTATCCTGGCTCACGCTTCAGAGGAACAGCCCCTGGCACCCTTGGCCACCCCGCCACCCGTGCTCTGGGTGAGAGCAAGGCCTGAGCGGCCTGTGGAGCCCGGTCCTGTCTCTTCTCTCGGAAGTTCCGAGCCTCTGGGTTTCCCAGGTGGCTTTCTCCTCTGCCTGCCGCCACGCAGAGGGACCCCCTCGGGCCCCAGCTGGCACCCCTGTGCCCCCCCCCCGACCAGGCTGTGAGCTGCCGAGGGCGAGGACGAGCTGGCCGCCCTGACCCCGGGAGCCCAGCCCGGGCCCGGGCCCAGAGCAGGTGCCCCAGGACAGTCAGGCAGCCGGAGGGCTCTCGTTGTGCCCTTCCCGGTACCGTCTTCCAGAACCGTGTTCTCTGGCAGCGGGTCTCTGCAGTCTGCTCTGCTTGCAGACCTTCCCCTGGGAGGCAGAGGGCTTCACGGGGCGGGGGGATGACACGGCATCGGCACCAGACCCAGGACGGAGGGGTCAAAACCTGCCCTGCAGGTGGGGGTACAGCCTTGCTGGGAGGGCACCCAGGGTCCTCACATGGGCCCCAGCTCCCAGTGAGCTGCGCGCACCCCTCACGCCTCACCGCGGATCCCGGCCTGTCCTGGGGTGATCCCCGCAGGAGGAGGGGTGACAGGGTCCCGGGGACCCAGAACAAAGCACCATGGCTGAAGTCTGCTTGCACGGGCGGGAGGCCAGAGTCCAGGACCAAGGTGTGGGCGGGGCTGGACCCCCTTGGCCTCCCGGGGCATTGGCCCAGGCTCTCCCCCAGCCTCCCGAGGTCTGCTGGCCGTCTTGGGGTTCACTGGCGTGTAGATGCATCATCGCCCCAACCTCTACCTCTGTCTTCACTTGGCCTCCTCTCTGCGTGTCTCCATGTCATAACATCCCCTTCTTATAAGGTCACCAGACGTGTTTGGTTGGGGTCTCCCCAGACCCCAGGAATGACCCCCTATAACTATATCTCCAATGACCCTATTTCTAAATAAGGTCCCATTCTGAGGTTCCGGGGGTGGGGGGTTAGGACTGCAACCTAAGGATTTGGGGGGGCACAATTCATACACCCTGATGGGGTGTGACACGAGGGAAGAGGTCCATGAGCAGAACCAGAGCCTGGCACATATTAGGTGCTCAGCAAATTAATCCCCATCCTGAGTGTCTACACCTCTCCACAGCCACATGCAACTTACAGCCCACTGGGAGTAGGGGGTCGACCACAGGGTTTACATGGAGCACATTTAGGCCTTCTCAGGTGCCCCGCCTCCATTCCCACACCCCTGTAGGGAGGTGGTGATGATGGTGAGGTGCCCTAACGTTTGTCCTGGGGCTTCAACAACCTGATATGAGGTGGCCACTGAGGGCCAAGGCTATGCCTCAGGTGGCCTCCTGCGACATGTACTCCCTAGTATCCCCCACTGGCCTCTCAGCTGCTCCTGCCTCAGGGCCTTTGCACTTGCTGCTCCCTAGTCTGCAGCACGGTTCCTCCCAACAGCCATGCTGCTCACTCCTGTCTCACTCAGGTCTGCCGGCTGTCACCTCGGCCCGAGGCCTTCCCCAACCACTCTCCTGAACCAGCCCCCTGGCACCACTGTGTACCCCCTCACACACACATCTGGTGTTATTCCGCCCTCATAGCTTTGTTTATTGTGGTAAAATACACATGACATGGAATCTATGTTTTAACCATATTTAGAGTATAGTTGGGCGGCATTAAGTCCACGCAGCCATCACCACCATCCCTCTCCAGGACTCTCTCCATCTTCCCAACTGGTGGGAACAAGCTCTGTCCCATGAAACACGCACTCCCATCCCTTCCCTGGCCCCCAGTGCCCACCATCCTACTCGTTTCTACGAACGTGACGACGACCCCGGGGACCCCGTGTCAGTGGAGTCCCACGGCGCGTGTCCTTCCATGGCAGGCTCGTCTCCCCCAGCACGATGTCCTCGGGCTCACCCGTGGGTGGCACCATCATCCTCCCCTTCCTTTTAGAGACTGAACCCTCATCCGCCGTGTGTCCATCTTTCATGTCCCCGTTTATCGGGACACGGGGGCTGTTTGCACTTGCTGCAGCCGCCCTCGTGCAGCTGCGAACACGGGCGTGCCACTGTGTGTCCGAGCCCCAGCTGGCAGCTCTTGAGGATGTAACCCTGGGAGCCTCGGAGCGCTTCAGACATTCCTCTGCTCGTGCGCTTGCCCTCAGCCTCCCTCGCTGGACGCAGGGCCGGGCCACGGGCCGCGTTCGTGCTGTGTTGCATCTGGTCTGCCCACTGCCGTGTCTCTGATCTGATGCCCAGACGGTGCCCGGCCCTGTGTGGACCGGCGGAGGGGTTAACGGGAGTCCCCGTGAGCGGCACAGCAGGGGGACCTGGGGCCTGCAGGCCCCCGGGGGGTGCGCGAGCTCCTGTCCAACACCCCGGCCCCCCAAACCCCCCGTGCTAAGCGGCTGCGCTGGCCCCCTGCACCCCGGGGCGCCCGCCCACTGGCCTCCGCCCGCCCATTCTTTCCACCACCTGAGCCACCGGCCCGCTTTTGATTAAGTCTCATTTTGCCGTGAAAAGAAAAGGAGGTGACAGTTGACGGGTGGGGGAGGTCATCTGTTCCAGAAGGAAATTGGATGGCCGCACTTCTATCCTCCCGGCCCGGCCCCTGCTCCTGTCCCCTGCCGTGGGCAGCAGTGTCAGCCCACACCCAGCCTCTGCCAAATCTCGTTAAACAGGCAGCTCCCCACGGATCGATGCCAGCCAAATGATGACCAGTTGTGGCCAGCAGTCCTTGAACGTGCTCACCGTCCTCTCGTTGCTGATCTCTGCAGGTAGAACTTCCATGGGTGCCCAGCGGGGGGGGGGGGCGGGGGGCGCGGGTGATCCCTTCCCAGGGTCCGCGCTAGCCCGGCCGGGGTTCTGGGTCCTGGCAGGTGGGGGGGGGCGCTGCCCCTGGCCCCCCAGCCTCCCCCTGGTGAGGAGCTAACGCTCAGTGCTGTTCGGTGAGAGCCTACTAAGTGCTGCCCCCCGAGTGCCCTCGCCAGGGGCCGTGCTGAGTGTCCCCCCCAGGCACGAGGGGGTTAACTGCGGCTGCCAGCCCTGGGAGAGCCTTCCCGCGGATTCCTTACCCCACACCTGAAAGTCAAGGCCGAAATGCCGTGGTCATCCCATTGTATGGATGAGGAAACTGAGGCTCAGAGCCGAACTGGGTAGGAGGAGGCGATACGGCCAGCGCAGGGGCTGGGGTTCCAATCCGCTGGCTGTCACCCGACCTCCTCCTGGGCATCGCCTGATGCAGCAGGTGGGCCCCCACGCTCCTGTCGACACAGATGGGCATAAAGCAAGTCCTTCAGCTGCTCCGAGCTGAAGCCGCCGCATGGAGAAGCCCCCCTCCCGCCTGCCAGCAGCGGTGGCTGGCCGAGCCCTGGCCTGAGCCAGGCCCCTGCTCTCTCTGTATCTCCCTCTGTGTCTGTCTCCCTCTCTGTATCTCTTGGTGTCTCTGTGTCTCTGCCTCTGTCGTTTGTGCATTTGCGCACAGGACCTCCTCATGCCCTCTCGCTCCAACAGACCTGTTGACACAGGCTTCCTGCCCTTGTCCCTTTGCTGAGGGACAACATGGCTCAGAGGGAGGCCCTGAGGGCCCTGGAGGGGACAGGGGGCTCCAGGATGCAGAGCCAGAGCCAGGTCAAGGGTCTGGGGGCCACTGTTCACCAAGCTCCTCCCTGACTCCTGTTCTGAGCGTTAGTGCCCGTGGTCCTCACTGCCTCCTGGGAGAGAGGAGGAAGTCCTCACCCATTTCACAAATGAGAGAACAGGCTCAAAGGACAGGGAGCTGCCCCAGGCCACACAGTCACACGGCCATTAGATGATGAGGGCGCGCCGTGGTCCTCCCTTGGAACCCAAGGGAGCGGCTGCCTCCTCGGGGTCCCCTCTCCACTTGGACCGGTTCTCCTGGTGGCTTGGAACCCACTGGTGGCCTGCTCGTAGAGCGTCCCTCTGCCCTGGGGCCCAGGCACAGCCCGAGGACCCCAGCAGGTCTGGAAGACAGCAGGTGCAGCTCTGTATCAGCCGCTCACTCGCTCACACCTCCCTGCTCCAAGCAAGGCCCATGCTTTGCTGTTTACTGTCTTCGGAGCCCCAGCCATCGGGGGTGCCAGTGGGCTCCCATCTGTGAGCGCAAGGAGGCACACAGAGGTGGTGATGGGCCAGATCACCCTGCATGCTCCATGATTCAGACCCAGCTGCCCCGGCTCCGAGCTCTAGGCAACTTCAGCTCTCGTACATTCTTCCTCGGGAAGCAGCAGTGGCTTCCTTATCTTTGCCAAGTGGCAAAACAAGTGGCACCAGACCATCTGTGGTGGCCGGGGTGATCCAGTGGGATTTCACCTATTTTCGGCCTTACCCAGCCTCCCTCCCCACCCCAGCGCTGCACAGCGGGCTCCCCAGAAGCCACGCTCAGAGGCCTCCCCGCTCCATCCCTTCCCTCCCTGGGTCCCACTTCAGGTCCTAGCCTCTCGATCCAGCCTCAGGCCTGAGCCGGTCTTGCTGACGAGCTGCTTGCGGGTTGTGGACTTGTCTAGCTGCCTGCGGGCCCGCCCACAGCAGGGCTTCCTCACCTCTGGATGGACTCTGGACTTCCCGCCTCTGGCCCTCACATCCAGCCTCCGCCGTGTCCTTCCTCCGGGCTGGTGGGTCCCAAACCCCAGGCCGTCAGCATCACCTGCAGGCCTTGCCTCCCACGCCAGCATTGCTCATGCAGAAGCTCTGCTGAGGGGCCTGAGACGCTGCGTTTGTAATGCGTCCCCAGAGGATGCAGATGCAGCAGGTCAGGTCCGCACTGTGAAACCACTGCTCTGAGCCTCGATTTTCTCCTCTGTACGATGGGAGTACATGAGATTAAATGAGATGGGGCATGCTTAGTGAGGGTTGTTGTCCCCCGGGAGGGTCTTCTGTTTCCCAAGGTCAAGGCCGAGCAGGGGGCCTGGAGGGCTCCCCTGGGCCCTTCTTCCCAAAGTGGTCATGTCTATCCCCACGGGAGAGGGTGCTGTACTTGGGGCCCAGGATTTCATGAGTCCCCCCCCCCCCACCCAGCCTCAGCACTCCGGCTCATGAGGCCTGTCTGCCCACTGGCTAGTGCGGCCCAGTAGGGACTCCCCTCCAGCAGCCCGGGGCGCTCAGGGAGCCCTGTGGGCTGCTCTCTGATTACCTCTCAGCAGAGACAGAGCTTTCCACGAGCTGAGGAGCTTTTGCAAAACCAGAGCCTTTGTGGTTGGAGAAATGTATTCAGCCAATGAAGCCCCTTTTCAGCGATACAAATTAGATACAGCAATCCCTTTTATGAAGATACTAATTAAGCCCGAGACAGCGGGCTCCAGGTTTTTTTCCATTGTTATATTTGCTTAGGCTTTCGCTCCTATTTATCACCATCCACACGACTGGTAAATACTGTCCTGGGTTTGCAGCAGCCTCTGTGGCTGAATAGAGGCCTCCCGCCTTGAGCCAGGGGAGGCAGGGCCCAAAGCCAGGGCAGCTCTGTGACCGTGAGATGGGGGTGGCCAGGGCAGGCCCTTGGGGACCTCTGGGGCTAGGGCCCTGGTTTAGCAGAAACCGTGGTACAGACGAGATGTTGCTTCCTTCGAGAGAGGGACTGGGTGTCTGCACCTGTGGTGCCCTCCAGCCGGGCCTCTTGGGCTTGTTTGCAGGTTGTCACCAGTCCACACGGTAGCAGAGGTCATCAAAGCTGGTGACAGGGGCACCTGGGTGGCTCAGAGGTTGAGTGTCTGCCTTTGGCTCAGGGCGTGATCCCAGAGTCCCAGGATCGAGTCCCACATCGGGTTCCCTGCAAGGAGCCTGCTTCTCCTTCCTCTGCCTGTGTCTCTGCCTCTCTCTCTGTGTCTCTCATGAATAAATAAATAAAATAATAATAATTAATAATAATAATAATAATAATAATAAAGCTGGTGACAGGAGTGGAGAGGGCTGGACTTCAGACCCTGGCCGGCTTGAGTTGGAGTCCCCCTACCACCTCTTACGAGCTCAGACAGCTCATGGAGCCTCAGTTTTTCCATCTGTAGAGTGGGATCCCAGACCCGGCTGCTAGGATGGCCACGTGGGCTAAATGAGAGATAGCGTATGAAGGGCAAGGCAGGCGCTCAGTTAACACTGTGTCCTGGTTGAGTGCCTGCTGTGTGCAGAGCCACTGGAGGGGATCCCCACGAGGCTTAAGATGCATCCGGGGGACACAGTGCCAGCCGGGCTGGCGTGGAGGGAGGCCTGGGTGGTGACAGCTTCCCGGCGGAGGTGAGGCTCAGGCTGGACCACTGAGCCCTCCTGGGGAGGGAGGAGGCGTGCAGCCCCCCCAGGCTCATGGACTCCCAGGGCAATGGGGCTTGGGGACCCCCCCCCCATGCTGACCCTGGGGACTCTGTTTTCCAGTCTTGTCCGCGCACTTCCGAGTCTGTGAGCCCTACACGGACCACAAAGGCCGCTATCACTTTGGCTTCCACTGCCCCCGGCTCTCGGACAACAAAACCTTCATTCTCTGCTGTCACCATAACAACACGGTTTTCAAATACTGCTGCAACGAGACTGAGTTTCAGGCGGTGATGCAGGCGAACCTCACGGCCGGCTCCGAGGGCTACACGCACAAGTGAGTACCACGCTGGGCCCCCCAACAACTCCCCAGCCCCTTGGACAACCAGAGCAGGCCGGGTGGGCCTGGGAGGATTCTGGGGAAGTCTTCAGGTAACAGGTTTTCGGGCCTGTCTATCCCGTGACGTTTGCCTTCTCTTCTGAGCAATGGGCACCTGTGAGCCCCCCTCCCGGGGCCGCTGCAGATGTTAGGTGAAGTCAAGGGCGTGGAATGGAAGGTGCGTGGGCCTGGAATCCGCATTCCTTACTTCGCGTTGATTGGTACCGCAGATATGGCGTGCCGGTTCCGACCCACAGATTAATCCTACACAGCCCCTTTCTTTAAGGGGATTAGAACGCAGGAGACCAAGGCCCTGATGGAAGGGACCAAGAGTGTAAAGAGAAATGTACCCTGCAGAAAAGTAGTGGGGAATATGCTGAGTAAAGGCGTGCGGGATTGAAACTACATGCATTTCTCTTACCGTGAGTGAAAGAAACTAAGCATCTTTCCGTGGGTTTGAGAGCCACTTGTATTTCTTTTTCTGTGAGTGAGCTGTTTATATCCTTTGCCATTTTCCCATTGAAGTTTTGGCTTTTTTTTCTTATTTATTTATAGGGACTCTTTGTATGTGAAGGAAATACAATGAGCTGCAAATATTTTGTGTGTCTTTAAATTTGTGTTGCTTTTATCTCATACATAACTTTTAGTTGTTATGTCAAATCGGATCCATTTCTTTTCTTTTATGTCTTCTGGGTTTTGTAGCAGACAGGGAAAGGCTTTCCCTGCTCGGAGATTGTTAAAAATCCTCTTAGGTTTTCTTTCACTTTTTTTGTGTGTTTTAGTTTTTTGCCTTCAAATCTTTGACCTGTTAGAAATTTATTTGGATGTAATCTTTGCATTAGGAATCCAGCTTTATTATTATTATTTTTCCAAATGGGTAGCCAGTTGTCCCGAACCATTCAGTGAATTGCCCATCACTCCTCCACTGATGTAAACCACAAACTTTTATACTGTGATATACTAGATTTGAGTCTCTGGATGGATGTTGGTACGTCTTCATGGCTTTCGTTGATCTATCCATATACTAGTATCTCACTGTGTTACCTACCGCGGCTTTTGATGTTTTAAGACCTTCTTAGTCTGTTCCCCCAGTTCTTTGGTTATATGAACTTGAGAAGCAGCTTGTTTCATCTTGTCCCCTCCAAGAATCCACTGGGTATTTTTTTTACTGACACTATGTTGAATTCATAGATTAATTCAAAGAGAATGGACTTTTCATGATATTGAATCCAAGCACACATTACAGACAATCCCTGACTTATGAAGATTCAACTTACGACTTTCCAACTTTTTTTGGGGGGGGGGGGCTGGGAAGGTAATGACTTTCCAGCCTTTTTTTTTTATGACTTTCCAACTTTACGATGGTAAGAAAGCGATACGCATTCAGTAGAAACTGTACTTTGAACTTTGATCTCGTGCCAGGGTAGCGGCACACAGGACAACCCTTATCTGCATGCTGGGCAGTGGCAGCGAGCCAAAGCTCCCAGTCAGCAGGCAACCATGAGGCTCCACATCTAACTCACTTGCTAGTTTTCTGTCCCTGTATAACCATTCCGGTTTTCGCTTTCAGTACCGTGGTCAGTAAATCACATGACACGGTCCACACTTGTCTATAAGCCTATACCAAGTAGGCTTTCTGGGGATGACTTTGCCTCACTGCAGGCTACGGTGAGCCGTCTGAGCACGTTCAAGGTCAGCTGGGCTAAGCAGTAATGTTTGGTGGGTTGGGTGTAGTAAATGCAGCGTGTACTTAATGAAATTTTCAACTTACAACTGGCTTGTTGGGACATAGCCGCATCATAAGTTGAGGAAGATCTGTTGGTCTTTCCAGTTGTTCAGATGTTCTTGCATAGTATTTTGGAATGTATCTTCATGGATGTCGTATGCATATCTTTTGCACTTGTTCCCACTTATTTCTTTGTACCCTGTTATTGTAGATAGGGTCCTTTTTTTCCATTACATCTTCCAACTGACTCTCATTTAGATGACAAAACCTGGCAGCCCGGGTGGCTCAGTGGTTTAGTGCTGCCTTCGGTCCAGGGCCTGATCCTGGAGACCCAGGATCGAGTCCCATGTCGGGCTCCCTGCATGGAGCCTGCTTCTCCCTCTGCCTGTGTCTCTGCCTCTCTCTCTCTGTGTCTCTCATGAATAAATAAAATCTTTAAAAAAAAATAATAGATGACAAAACCTAATAGTTTCTAAATATGAAGTTTATACTCAGCCACCTTACTGAACTTTCTTATCTTTGTTATGCTTTTTCAGTTGATTCCCTTAAGTTTCCCATTATGCTACTTGCAAGCAACGATGATTTTATCTGTCTTCCAATTTTTGTGCCTCACTTCTTTTTCTTGTCCAATCATGTTGGCAAGTACCTCTAAAGTCATCTTTGGAATTATCAAGCACTCTTATCTTCTTCCTGATATTGACTAGGCCACTTCAGATACGTTCCCAATAAGCCTGAGGCTGACTTCTTGGGTGGCTATATTTTTTTTCGTGATGAGGAAAAGTTCATTTGGAAGGAGAGTTTTGTTAAGCGACTGTGGAAGGGAGTGGTGGCACCACTATGGGGGGGCCTGAGCCCCAATCTGTCCGATGTTGGGGCTTAAATGCTTTGCTACTGTGCCGTGCTCACTCAGGGGAAATCTCCTTTCCCTTTGGTCAGGCAGGAGATGCAGACTCCTTGACTATCATCCAAATCTCCCTCCTCCCACCGAGGCTGACTCCCCAGCCTTCCTTCCTCAAATGCATGGGTGCTTCCCCTGAATATCTTGCCATCTGCTCAGGCCTTAGAATAATTCTGTGTGTGAAGTCGTTCAGCAAGTCCTGTCCATCACAAGGGCTGGAACCGGGCCTGGAATCTGACCCAAGCATTTTATACGACCAAAGACTGACTCTCCAAGGGTGGAGAGAGGTGCCAGCAGTGGGGTTAAGACCCCGGAGTGCAGTCCTTGCCGGCCGAAAGCCAGACGGAAGACAGAGGCTTGGCAAAGCAAGCAGACTTCTCCGAGGCTCTGGCGACTGGTGTCTGGGATCCTTGTTTTGAAGCCCACAGGTTTCTATAATCTGCACATTTCCACAGGATCTCACACAGAATACTCCATCCTCTCAGCACCATGGGGCCTGGTTGCTGCGAGGAAAAGTTCGGCCATACGATAAAGCCATTCCCCCTGGGGAGGAATGGAAATATTGAAGAAGTTTAGCTTAGCTCGAATTCTTTAATCTCAGAAAGCATTCACAGAGTGCGCGGCATGGGCCGGCTCTGCATTCAGCTCTGTCCTTGCCATATCACGGAAGGCACCCGTGGGCCCCATCCTGAGCCCACATCACACACGGGGAAGGTGAGGCATGGGGAGGCTGTGTGATGATGGAGCTAAGCGCCAAGCCGGGTCTGGAGGCTGCTTTAATGAATCTGGGGCCTCCACCAGCCGAGGCAGCTCTGAGTGGGGAGGCCAAGAGTGAGGATCCCCAGCACAGCACCGCTGACACCTGGGGCTGGATCCTTCTTTGCAGGGGGAGGCTGCCCCGTGCCTTGGACGTTTAGCAGCCTCCCTCGCCACCACCCACGAGACATTGCTAGTAGCCCCTCCCCACCAGCTGGCCGTGACAACCAGCATGTCTCCTGATGTTGCCAACTGTAGGGTGCAGGATTGCCCTGGCGGAGAGCCACTGCTCTGGAGGGATTCCTCCTTGTTATTCTCCGCCGAGCTTCCCCCTGCCTCCCTTCCCACAGATGTGGATGGAGGCCCAGAGAGGGGCTGTGCCTCCCCCAGAATAATTGGGCTCCGCTCCTCCCCCAGGCGGTAGCACGCCGGTTGTCCCTGTGCTTCCTGTAGGGAGGCCTGGTGCCGGATTTCCCTGCATCCAGAAGTTGTTACGAAGGTGGGAGCCACGTGGTCCAGAGGAATGAGCATTTCCAGGCAGGGTTCCCTGCAGCCTGAGTTTGAAGTGCCAGGGGAGCCAGGGGGAGCAGCCGTGGGGGCTGGGGACCTCCTGCGGCCACAGGGGTGGAGGGTGGAGGGGAGTGGCAGGGGGCCCTGAGGGCTTCAGGCTGGGTCTGTACTCATTGCCGGTGCCGGGGACAAGGACAGAGGACACCACAGGAGCCATGATGAGGAGAGAGGCCAGCGTCACCCAGAGACGGGTGATTCAGAGCTCAGCTCAGAGATCTTGGAGGCTGCTGCCCGAGCTCAGGGACTTGGGGAGCAGGCCTGAGCCCAGGGAGCCAGACTGGGGCCTTGCGTCCAGGCAGAGCCCGCAGCCGAGAGGGGGCTCCCCGATGTGAAGGAGTGCCGGGTGGTGTCCACCTCTGGGACCGGCCTGCTCGTCGGGGCCCTGAGCCCCCGGGGTGGGGCCCTGACTCCGGCCTCGGGGCTCTGCTACCCCGGAGAGCCAGGACTTGTCTGGGGGAGCAGGGTACGCAGCGGGTCTCTGCCAAGGGGCCGGACGTTCCACTCTCCCAGACCTGTGACGTGGCCCCGGGCAGCACAGACCCTCCCTGGGCTTCTGGAACATGTCTGGGGTCCGTGAGCAGCCGTGGCGCCTGGCACCCGCCCACGTCACCCACCCCGCCCGTGAATCAGCGAGTAGGCAGGGCTGGTGACAGGGAAAAGGAGAGCGCTTCTGATGACTTATTTATTTGTGTTTTTCTGGAGGAACAGAATGGTTTGTTTTGGTTCTCGCCGCCTGGCGGAAAGGCAGGCAGAGCGAGGGAAGCAGCGCGGCCCACGGCCCCGCAAGGCGCCCCTTCCTGCCGAGCGGGCGCAGGCCCTGGGCCCTCAGGAGCGGCGCTGCGCCCCGCCCCTTCCCTCTCCAGGCGCTGGAGACCCTGAGCCCCGACCAGCCAGGCCCGCGGGACGGCGGAGGCGCGGGGCGGTGAGTGGGCGCTCCCTGGCCAGGCAGGTGCTGCAAGAGGCGGACAGTGGGAGGGATCCCGGGGAGGCAGAAGGGGCCTCCGAGGCTCCAAGGGCGGCCTGCGTGCATTACCGAGCTTCCCTTGGCCGCACGTGAAGCCTCCGTCCCCCCAGAGCTTTCCCTCCCCAGCGCCGGAGGACCTGAGAGCCCCCGAGCCCTGGGTCTCCTCCCGCGGGGCCTGTCCTGCCCGCCTCACAGCCCTGTCCAGACGCTTCGGGTGTTAGATGCAGCCCCTGAGTGTGGTCCGAATCTTCCGGATATTCTTGTCCATTCTTCAGCCCCGTCAGGCCCCGTTAGGCACCAACCCGAGTGCCCACCGGCAGCCTTCTAAAGACCAAAGACTTTCTAGAATCATGCTGTTTCATAATCAGAATGCTCTCTGCCAAGCCAGGGGGAGGGAAACAAATGAACATTTTTGAGCACTTATCGTATTGCGAGGGGCCTCCCAGCACCTTTGATCCACATAGAGGTTTTATCTAGGGAGAGGGTCCTCCCCTGGCCCCCTTACACCAGGGTGAAAAGGCGCCTGTAGTCGCACAGCACACACAGGGCCCAGCAGGGTGGGGGACAGGTGCATTAGTCACCTGGGTCAGTCACGCCCGGTGACGAGCGGCCCCGAAATCCCCTTGGCTTCCAGGCTCAAGGGCTTATTTTGGGCTCACACTCCGTGTCCTTCCGGGATCACCTGCGGCTCTGTGCGTGCAGCGTTCTGTGGCCCAGGCCGATGGAGCGCACCCCATCTGGGGCAGGATGTCCCCGCGGCAGAGGGTAAAGAACACTGGTGGAAGCACGAGGCGGCTCTTAGACTTCTGCTCAGAAGCAGCCACAACTCGGCTGCTCACAGTCTGTTGGCCGAAGCACATCCCTTGGCCCAGCCTGTTACCAGTAAGGCTGGTGAGAGGCATGAGGACGACGCAGGGAGGGACAGTGAGTGTTTGGGTAGCTGTGGACTCTGGTGGGGGGACTTCCGGCCACAGCCGCCCGTCTGGCTGATGGACCTGCTCCTGTAACCAGTAGGTATTCGGTTAATTTCTCCAGCAGGGGTTTTTGTTTATCACTTGGGAGACACCCAAAGAATGTGACTCAGTAAATATCCCCAAACCCACTGAAAATTTGCTATCTGTGGCTTTCGGCTGGCTTCACATCTTGCCCCATAAAACAGCCTCTGTTTTATCTCCTGCCCTTTATACAACATAGGCATGGACACCACAAAGCCCCCTGCATCTGGATGGAATTAATTTCCAGATCACATTTTAAAAATTGAATTAAAAAACTCAGAATGCTTCCAGCCAGCCAACCATGGGGGAGGTCAGGCCGAGAAAGACAGGAGAGCTGCCTGGGGGTGGCATCTGTGGCCTGGGCCCTCCAGCCAGCTGCCACTCCCGCGTGGGCTCCCTTTCAGGGAAGTGGGAGTCCATGCATGCGGCATCTCCCACAGGTGCACCCCTCTTTTCCTGAGCGGGGAGGGTAGAGGGAGCAAGTCAACACTCCCCCCTTCCCTCCTCAGCCCCCCAAAGGCCAGCTGGAGCAGCCAGCGGCGACAGGGGCCTGCAGGCCCAGCAGGGCCCACGCACACATGCAAAGGCAGTGACACAGTGAGATGCAGGATGCTCGGGGGGCGGAGACTGGAGCTGTCCCCAGGTCCTCAGGTCCCCAGGTCCTCAGGTCCCCAGTCCTCAGGTTCCCAGGTCCTCGGGTCCCCAGGTCCTCGGGTCCCCAGGTCCTCGGGTCCCCAGGTGCCCAGGTCCTCAGGTCCCCGGGTCCTCAGGTCCCTGGGTCCCCAGGTCCTCAGGTCCCTGGGTCCCCAGGTCCCCAGGTCCTCAGGTCCTCAGGTCCTGGTACACGGGAGCCAGACAAGAGGACCACGCCACGCAGGAAACCTCTCCCTGGACACATGGCCAGGACCTTGGGGTTCTCCCAAGATTCAGCACACCCTGGGGATACATGGACCTGGGTCCGAATCCCAGTGCGGCCACTTCCCAGCTGGCTGGTGACTGTTGAGTTTTCTTTTAATGATTGGTGGAGAAAATTAAAGACAGCAGAGCCAGGCGGTAGGTTCGAGAGTGCTTTAATGGAGAGCACTCCCGGGTGAGGTTCTGTGACTCGTGACTCGGAGAGGCTCGAGTCAGGGAAGTCGCACCCAGGCAAACCTCAGGGGGGTTATAAAGAGTTTATGGCGGGAAGATGAGAGTAGGGCGGCGTTGGTGAGAAGATGCTGGCCAGGGGTAGGCCATTCTGAGGTCCCCAGTCTTGCCAGCCCAACAGCGACTTTGCCTGCCCGGCACTCACCTCCTCGCCTGTGCATGGGGCAGACTGGACCGTTTGCCACCTCCGGGTACCGCTGCCGGGGTGATGGCCAGCAGGGCTATCAACTATTAGCGAACACGAACACGTAGAGGGAAGGTAACATGTAGCTGGGAAGCTAATTATATCAGGCCACCATCGTCACCAGCTCACCTTACACCCCACGTGTGTCAGCAGTGGCCGCCCAACCCCAGCCTCAAGGGATCTCAGATGAGCCTCTTAATTCTTCCGAGCCTCAGTTTTCCGTCTCTAGAATGGGGATGGTGGTGATAGCAGTAACGCCTCCTTCTGCGTTTGCTCAGCGTGCTGACCGGGCTCCTGTGCGGAGGGCCCAGAGTGACACGCACGCCTGCCACCGTCCTCGCTATGGTTCTGTCTCAGTCCTGCTGGCTCCAGGCCCAGCTGTGGCCCAGCCCCCGCCTCCAGCTCCCTCCACTCCCTCTCTGCGGGGCAGCATCTGCACGCAGCTGCCCTGCCTCCCCCTTCCCACTCCCCTCCCTCAGCCCTGAGGCTGCTGCCATGGGAACCACCGGGGAGAGGCCTGATGCTTGCAGAGATGCCCATGCTGTGCGGGCTCTGGGGAACCTGGAGAGAGGGTGCTGGGGACGTCAGGAGGGCCACAGACCGGAGCCAGGCCGCATCCTCTGTCCACCCCAGGCCTCCTGCCCCCACGAGCCAGGCCGGGCTGCCAGCCTCTGCTGTCCTACAGAAATCACACCTAGATGTATCCAGGCGAAGAAGGCAGGCAGCTTGGGGCCCGGCTGTCAGTCATTCACACCTTAGTGTAAACAAGCCCCCAGGCTGCTGCAGGCCTCACAGGGGTGGTGGCTGGAGGTGGGGCCGCACAGGGGAAGGGGGCAGCCCAAATACACAGCTGCGTCCAGGCCCTCAAGCAGACACCAAAGCCTGAGCACTTACCAGGGCCAGCTCCACGCTGAGTGCCTGGATACAGAGACCTCCCACTTGAGGGGCTGCAAGCACCAGAGCCAAGTCTTCAAGGGGGAGGATTTGGTTCAGTAACAGGAGGGGCGGCGTTGCAGGCAAAGAGCATGTGTGGGCAAAAGTGAGCAGCCCCTGGTCCAGGCCCAGGGGTCAGAGGGCAACAGCCTTTGCCTCACTGCTGAGGCCAAGGCTGGGCAGGGGGTAAACTGAGACCAGAAGAGGCCTCAGTCATGTCCTGCAGGTCCAGAGACACATAGGGGTTCTCCAGGCCACACAGCACAGCTGGGCCAAGTCGGACCCTGGACCGGGTCTCCCGGCACCAGCCAGTGCTCTCCAGCCTCAGGCAGGGTCTAGAGGGACCCCAAGGGGCCCGGTCTGGGCAGGAGCTGGGGGTAGGGCCCCCTCCTTGTGAGCAGGGGCTGCGAGGCTGGACACTGGCTCTGCCCGTGCAGTGTGTGGCCTGTGCCACCCGCTGGCACACACCCACCTGAGCAGATGCCGCAGCGGCGAGCACACAGAGGCGGTGTCTGGGTGATTCATAAATCAGCCCCTTTAGGTAGCTACGGGCCCTGGTGAGCACCGTTGGGAGCATAGCAGCCCCGGCTGCACCGGCCAGCCCCAGAAACAGCCCCCCTGGCACCCAGGGGACACTCAGACCCCGGCCTTGGAGGGGGACAGATGGAGCCAGACAGCCTGGTCCTGGGGAGGGTGGGGAAGAGGGCACAGCAACCCCCCCTGGGGGAAGGGGGGCACAAGGTGAGCTCTCGGCAGCACAGGGGGGTGTGAGGTGCCCCAGGGTGCTCAGGGCGGATGCTGGGGGTCAGGGGCCTACGGGCTCAGGAAGTTGGGTTGGTTTGTCCTCAGACAACAGACGTCCCATGTTTGTGGGGGATCGGAGGGGGTTAGGGAGGAGCTGTGGGGGGACCAGGGGTGGAAGAAGCAGGAAGGGATGCAGGAGACCTCCTAAGCCAGGAGCCAGGGGGCAGGCACAGGAGACAGCTGGCCCCTCCCACGTCGGTCTCTCCAAAGCCTCTCCCAGAGAGGGGCCCCCCCTGAGATCCTGGGGGAGATGCTCCGGGGCAGAAGGAGGGACAGGGGGGTGGATTCCAAGGATCTGGGAGGAGGCTATCAGGCAGGTGGGGGAGAGGGGCGGAGGGTGGGTGTGGGGAGGGGGGACCCGGACTCCCTGCTCCAGGGGGGCGGTGGGGGTGATGCAGCCGCTCCCCGCTGGTGCCCCAAGGTAGCCCCATGGGTGAGCTCCGTCTTTGGGGGCTGCTTCCTCTCGCCCCTCAAACTCTGTCTCCCTTTTCCCCCAGCAACTACACCGCCCTGCTGGGAGTGTGGATCTACGGCTTCTTCGTGTTGATGCTGCTGGTCCTGGATCTTTTGTATTACTCGGCAATGAACTACGACATTTGCAAGGTTTACCTGGCGCGGTGGGGCATCCACGGACGATGGATGAAACAGGACCCCCGGCGGTGGGGCAACCCTGCCCGGCCCCCCCGGCCAGGGCAGCCCGCCCCGCAGCCCCAGCCCCCGCCAGGCCTGCTGCCACAGGCGCCCCCGGCCGTGCACACGCTGCAGGGAGACGCCCACAGCCCGCCGCTCATGACCTTCCAGAGCTCGTCTGCCTGGTGAGTGGTTGCCGTCGGGGCCCAGCGCCGCGGTGGATCACTGGGCTTTGCCAAGCTGGGAAAATAGCGGGTCTGGCTCCCCGATGACCTGATCGTGCGCGTATCTTATTGGCCAAGTGGGACTCGAGGTTGCCCGTGGGCCCGAGTCAACAACGCGAGGTGGAAACGGAGCTGGGGAGCCAGGCATGCGGGTTTACGCCCGGAGAGCCTGATGTGGGGGTGATGGTCCCCGAGCGATGGATGGAGCTGTGAGTTTCCCGGCTGCCGAGGCAAAGGGGGCAATTGGATGACTTTCCCAAGTGTTCAAGGTCAAATGGGGCAAATGGGTGTTTGGGGTCAGGGGCTAAGCTTTCTCAGCGTGAAGTTAGGAAGTAAGCCTGTTCCTGGGTTGGTTCCTTGTGTTCCCATGCCCTGAGGCAGGCTGCTTAGCGTTGGCTCAGGGGACAGGAAGGGAGGCGGCCAGGGAGGTGGGGTGTCAGGGGGTCAGTCTAGAAGCGTGGCTGCGTGGGTCTCACTTCCGCCCAGTCCCAGGCACCTGGGGGGTGGGGGATGACCAGCCTCGTCCCCGAAGGGGACCTCTTCGTCCCTGAAGAGTTGGAGGGAGGGAGGAGGGCTGTACATTTTGGAGCAGGACCCCCTGGGAGGGAGGCCGGGACAAAGGACAGCAAGGAGCCAGGCAGAAGGCAGATGCCCCCCTCCCCCCCGGCAAGAGGTCGGAAGCCGAGCTGCAGCCACAGGCATGTGGGATGTGGGGCGCGTCACCCCGGGGCACCCCAACACTGAGCCCAGGCTGCATGATCCGTCGCAGAGCCCGCCCGCCCGCAGATGCATGCGTTTTCAGCACAGCGATCACTGTTGAGTCCATGAGCTTTGTGGGAACCCCGACCTGGGTTCGAGTCCCAGCTCTGCCGTTTACCAGCAATGTGTGCAGACAAATAACCTCAGCCCTCGGGACCTTCCAGTCCTCAGGGAGTAGTGGAGAGAGTGAGCCTGGTCCCCCGCCAGGGTCCCCCAAGGGTTAAATTAAACCCCTGGCACCTAGTAGGTGCCCAGTTAACCGTCGGTGCTTCCTTGCTGGGGGAGGCAACCAGGCTCCATGAGGATGAGGATCACGGACCGAATAGCCAGCAGGTAGCGACCTTTTCAATAATAAATGACTTAAATAATGAATAAGATGCACTTAAATCAGCTTATTGATCAAGTAATTGCCCCATCTGTCACGCAGAAGACAAAAACACAGCCCTGTTCAGCTCAGCTTGACAAATGCTGACTGAGCCGGTCCCCTGGGTGCTCCCCCCCACCCCCACCCCCCGGTCAAGGCAGTGGGTGGAAAACCTTGAGGAGCAGAGAGGAGGGCATGAACCCACACAGAGCTACACGTGAAACCGGCCTGACCCGGCGGCAGCAGGGTTTTCTGTGGCAGGGGACACACCTGGGGTGTTTGTCAGCATGAGGTCTTGGGTCTCCTCCCCGCAAAGCCCAGTGGTCAGCAACCCCTGGGGGGTCGTGCCTGAGGTACCAGAGTTAGAACCGCTGGAAAGCATCGTTACAAGCAGCCAGGTGTTTGGAGAGCAGGGATCCTTTCATTTGAGCGATGGCTCTCTCCCCACCCCCCTACCCCCGACCCCCCCCCCATTTGGAATGCCTTGAGCCTCCCTGAGCCTGCCAAGCTTGTTGGGATTGTGCATCAGGTCTCAACAGGGGACCGAGCCCTGTGGCCTAAGTGGGAGACGTTTAATTTAGGTGCTCGGGGCTCCTCGTGTCCCCCTGGTTCCCACCCTGTGGACCCAGGATGGCGCCCCCGTAAGCGCGTGAGCACCCATAAAACAGGTCATCAGAAGCCCGTGAGGATGGGATGTGGGATAAAGGATTCACCTGGTGACTCCCAGCTCCTGCTCTGCCCTCGACACCCCGGGGTGACCCTGGGCGAGGGGTTCCCTGCTTGGGCTTCCGCTCTACCCGAGGCGGGGAGAGGGGCGGGTGTCGCGAGCCCCGGTTAGCTGCTGGCCTCCCGGTGGCTGCCTGTGGTTGCAGCAGCATCTGTTGAGCACTTGCTGTGTCCCTGGCACCTTGTTGGCTCCAACCCCACGGGCTTGGTGCCAGGGTTGGGGGGGTGTGGGGAAGAGGGTGAGTGGTTTCCCCAGAGTCACGGGGCGATGACGCAGCAGGGCTCTGGCTGCCACCCCTGTTTGGCGGAGACCCCCTACCTCCCACCGTGTGCTGGGCACTGAGGACAGGGGACACATGAGACCCCACACATGGGTGAACCAGCTCGGAAGGTCGGAGGATGGGACACATCCTGGGGGCGGAGCCAGTGCATGGGGGGTCTGAGCAGGTGTCCTGGACAGAGAACTGGGGCTGCAACCCACTGTGGTGTGGCCCCCAGGGTGTCCCCGGCTGTCACGGGTGTGTGGCTGGGGCAGGGCTGGGCTCTTCTCACTCACAGCTTCTACCAGAACAAGAGCTGGAGTCTGTGCCGCTTCATTTCCAAACTGTCACCCTGGGTCCTCCAAACAGCCCCCTGAGCTGCGTCCCTGGCCTGGCAGAGATGCGTCCCCCCTGGGGCACAGATCCCACCAGTGGCTCCCCTGCTCCTCACCTCCAGGGCCCGGGGCCCCCCAGGCTCCTGCACCCCACTCCAGCCATCCCCCCACCACTCAGCTCTGCAGCAGAGCGACCTCCCTCCTGCCCAGAGGCCCTGCTCTTCCCCTTTCTCACCCACCACCTGGGAACCCCGGTCACCTTGCCCCTTGGGTCACAACTTCCTGGTTGGCAGGCCCCCCTGGCCCATCCTGTCCCTGCCCCCCGCCACGGCCGAGGCCATTGCCTGCCCTGCCTGCCGTTCTGACCATAACCCGGCTGGACACCCCAGCCCCGCATGACGCAGCCGCGACCTGCTGTCACAGCCGTGGAGCCACCACGGGGCGCTGAACAGTCACCACGAGTGCGTCTCGGGGGCACAAGGCTGCTCAGCCCCCAGGCCCCTTCCAGAAGCCCCCGCAGACGGCTGGCTCGCTCTCTCTCTGTCCCCCACTCCAGGACTCCTTCCTTCGGCGGCCCCTCCCTCCTTGTCTGTCCCTGCACGATGCACTGATCCCAGGACCTCTGGCGCCTGGACGCTTCTCCCTCCGTAGCCCCCGGTTTCTCCTCACAGGGGCCGGGGCGCCCGCACACCAGACCCTTCCCCGTGTGGGGGGCGGGAGGAGGGGTGCGAACTCACACGCATCACCTGGGTTCCTGTGTCTCCATTAGGTTCATGGCACCCTGGGGTTCCATGTGCTTATTCGGAGTTTTTATTTGGGGGGGAGGGAGGCGTTCGGGTTCCAGGGATGCAGGAAGGGATAGAAACGGGGGATGGGAGAGGGAAGCGGTCACCGCCGTGTCCCCGTTGCGGGCTCTGTGCAGGGCTTGGCACCGATGCCACCAGGGCCGTCACTCTTACCAAGTGGGTGGTGTCGGTATTAGCAGCCCCGCTAGGGTGGCTGGGAGCAGCATGTCTGCCTGGGGCTGCGGTTGAGCCCTGGGTTCAAGAGCCACTGGCACCAGTGGTAGGCTCTGCGACCTCAACCGTCCACGCCTCAGTTTCCCCATGAAGACACCAGAGGTCACAACCATCTTGAGAATTCAAGGGGGGGATCCTCAGGGAGGGGCTGGGCCTGCTGTCTGGCCCCATGTCATCAGCCCGGGGGTGGCCTCTCAGGCGGGCAGGTCAAGGGGGTCAGGGTCCTGCCCTCCGGGACCGACAGGGAGGTGAGGGGGCTCACCCAGTGCCCCACACGGCCGGCCTCGGCCACTGTCCTCTCCCATCTGCCCTGCGCACCAAGGATGTCGTGCCCCATTTTTGGATGTGGAACCTGGGGGCTCGGGGGAGGTCAATGGGAAGCCCGGGTCACCCAGCAAAGGGGAGACTGAGGCAGGACCCCACCCCAGGGCTGAGTGGCACCCCACAGCCAGTGGGCCTCTCTGCTGGGGACTCGGCCACGGTGCGGGGGGGCTGAGGCTCCGGTCAGGACCCCAGGCCGGAGGGTAGGAGGGAAGCAGCCCCCAGGAGAGGCAGCCCCAGGGGCTCCACGGAGGAGGCCCACGTCCTCCCAGCCTGGCTCTGCTCTGTGGCCCCAGACACCCACTCTGTCCAGCCCTTGCCCCTGCCCCTGCTCCTGTCCCTGCCCCTGTCCCTGCCCCCATCTCTGCCCCTGCCCCTGCCCCTCTCCCCTCCCCTGCCCCCACCCCACCCCAGCAATGCCAGGTTCTGGCCACCAGCCCAAGGCCTGGTTGCCTCTGCAGCAGGGTGGCCAGGCTCTCCCCATCCATGTGGTGGGCCAGCCTGCGGGGTGCTGCCTTCAGCTCCCCCTCCCCTGACTCCCGTCCTCCCCAAAGTGGGGACAAGGCACCCTTGTGGTTCTCTGCGCACCTGCCTGCTGTTCTTGTCTCTCAAACATGGGGGGGTGCACTTGGGGTCATGCTGCCCTCCTCCAGCTCCTGGAGCAGCAGGACCTGAAATTTGGGCTGCAGCTCAGCTCCCCTCCCTCTCCCTCCCTCCCTTCTGTCTCCTCCTCCCCTCCCTCTCTTTCCTCTCCCTCCCCTTTCCCCCTCTCCCCCTTCCTTCCTCCCCTCCCTCACTTCTCTCTCCTCTTCCACTCTTTCCCTCTTCTCCCCTCCTCCTCCCCTCCCTCTCCCTGTCCTCCCCCTCCCCTCCCCTTTCCCTCTTCTCCTCCCTCCCTCACTTCCTCCTCACACTGAGCATTCAGCCAACACTCTGAGGCTCCAGCCACCCCCCTCGGTCCTTGGCCCCGCCCCCCATCACTGACATTGGGCCACACCCTCCCTCAGCCAGAACCTGAGCCCAGGCCAGTGCAGTGCAGGGACCTCAGTGTCGGGTTCAGGGTGCACAGTGGGTGCGCAGCTTCTCCTCCACTGAGCTGGAACGTCCCTCTGTCCCCTCACACTGGGACTCAGGACTCCTGCCCGCTCCAGGGGCCCTCATGGCCAAAAGGGGAACA